TTATCAAGTTAAACTAGGTGAATTAACCCAAAATTCAATTAGTTGGTCAGTTGAAGACGAAATTAAGGCTAAAAATGATTTTTTGTTGAAATATGTTGCAAGAACAGAAGAAGAAAAGATTTATTTACAAAGGCATTTCGATATTTTAATAGTCGTGTTAATCCCTGGTTATCCAGAACAAAATTGTGCTTTTAATGTAAATTATTCGACCAAACAAATTATTCAAAGAGAGCTTAATGAAGGTATTAAATGATACCTATCTATTTTTTGTATCTAGTACTTTGATAATTTGGATAACTTGATTATGCCATTAGTGCGACGACATGCATGGGCATCCTACATTTTTAAAATTGGAAAAAAAACGAAATTATATGCGAATCTTTGGATATCTCCCTGGGATACCTTACTGAGAAACGCTTGAATACCGTAATCCGGTATATGTATGATACGAAATTTTCGGATAATCGAATCAGTATCGAAATTTTCCTATAAGTTTTTTGGGTGCCGGAATTTTGGTCACCGGAATTTTGGTCACCAAGGATTTTCGGAACTTTGGTCACCAACTTTTTTGGAATTTTGGTCACCAGCGGAATTTTGGTCACCAGGTCAAAAAACGGAATATTGGACACTGAAATTTTGGTCACCAAACGGAAAAAAATAATCTTGTCTAAAACTGAAATCAAAGTGATAAAATATGATTTTTCAACCCCCAGTTGATCAATTTCAATGTTGATCACTCTCATGGCTGATCACTCCCTCAGTTGATCACTCTCGATCACTCTTCCGGATGATTAATTAACTGTGAGTGTGAACAACATTGAAATTGATCAACTGGGGGTTGAAAAATCATATTTTATCACTTTGATATCAGTTTTAGATAATATTATTTTTTTCCGTTTGGTGACCAAAATTCCTATTGGTGACCAAAATTTCAGTGTCCAATATTCCGTTTTTTGACTTGGTGACCAAAATTCCGCTGGTGACCAAAATTCCAAAAAAGTTGGTGACCAAAGTTCCGAAAATCCTTGGTGACCAAAATTCCGATGACCAAAATTCCGTACACCAAGTTTTTTAGCCTTAAAAAGTTCGACGAAAAGAGATACGGAGAGAGTGAAATTTTCTGTGACTTTAAGACATACCTTAAGACTTTAAAGCTGTCTTACATCGAGGACTTTATGACATTTATAGAAAATATCAGATAATGAATCTACACCTTAGAATATCGCAGATTTTCTCTAAATTGTTGATCATCTCTACAAAATTTTCTAAAATTTTATATATTTTTAGCAAATAATATGATTATGAATGCTAAAAATATGAATGGGGGAAATGAGGAATTTAATAATTTTTGGAAAAATTGGTTGGATGGTACTAAATTCTTGAAAAAGGTAAATCTTAAATTTAAAAAAAGAATTAATAAATAAATTTTAGTATAATCATTTTTTGTTGATTTTGTGTTTTGTAAGTAAAAATGATCTTAAAGAAGCTGAAAATTATTGCCGTTTTGTGGAGAGTCGATTACGTTTAGAATTAATTTTTTCAATAGAACTGAATCAAAGAAAAATAAAATATACTCATTCTACTGATAAGGAAAAATGTTTGCCAAATGAAATTAAGAGAAAATTTGGGTGGGTAATTTTATATTTTGGAACAAACTTTACAATCCTGGAATTTAAAAGTAGATATGTAGTTTGAGAAAACCGTTGAGAGACCCTTAGTTGCGTGGTATCTTGTTCGGTTCCGATGGTTCCTTTGGGTGTTCTGATGTGATTGAGTGTTCTGATGACACAATTTGGCGTTTTATGCCCCTAAACGGTTATTGGGTTTTTTAAGGCTCCAACTAGTTTGCTATCTTAGCATCCGCTCCAGGCGACAGCATCGTCCTACTTTCTCTTCCCTAACATAACCAACTAATTAAAAACACAAATACTTATCATAAAATAATTTCAGTGGATATTATATTCAATATTGGTGGGTTGGAATTGAAACATATAATGAAATAGAAGATTTGGAATTTAACAAAAACAATGAAGAATCAAATATTTTAACAAAATTTGTTGATAAAATTAAAGAAAAAACACCCGTTATTTTGGCAAGAACTGGGGGAAGTTTGGAGTTATTTTACTATAATTTAGAAGGTATTAACAAAATAATGAATGAATGCTGAAAAATTGATAAACTGAATTTTTAAATTAAATAAAATATTTTTTCCTCTATCATATATTTCACCATATTTTCTTTATTCAGAAGTAATTCAATTGATAAGCCAAATAAAATTTTAAATTTTAATAACAGAATAATCTGTCGTATTTATGATCAATAGATATTATTTTTTGACCATCGTTCATTGGCCTTTTATTTTATTAGGCTTTAAGATAATAGAAACAACATCTATAAACCCATAGTGCGCGGTAAGAAATCTATAAACTTGTAAATCAAAAAGAATAATAGAAACAACATCTATAAACCCAGAGTGCGCGGTAAGAAATCTATAAACTTGTAAATCAAAAAGAATAATAGAAACAACATCTATAAACCCAGAGTGCGCGGTAAGAAATCTATAAACTTGTAAATCAAAAAGAATAATAGAAACAACATCTATAAACCCAGAGTGCGCGGTAAGAAATCTAGAAATCTTGTAAATCAAAAAGAATAATAGAAACAACATCTATAAACCCAGAGTGCGCGGTAAGAAATCTATAAACTTGTAAATCAAAAAGAATAATAGAAACAACATCTATAAACCCAGAGTGCGCGGTAAGAAATCTAGAAATCTTGTAAATCAAAAAGAATAATAGAAACAACATCTATAAACCCAGAGTGCGCGGTAAGAAATCTATAAACTTGTAAATCAAAAAGAATAATAGAAACAACATCTATAAACCCAGAGTGCGCGGTAAGAAATCTAGAAATCTTGTAAATCAAAAAGAATAATAGAAACAACATCTATAAACCCAGAGTGCGCGGTAAGAAATCTATAAACTTGTAAATCAAAAAGAATAATAGAAACAACATCTATAAACCCAGAGTGCGCGGTAAGAAATCTAGAAATCTTGTAAATCAAAAAGAATAATAGAAACAACATCTATAAACCCAGAGTGCGCGGTAAGAAATCTATAAACTTGTAAATCAAAAAGAATAATAGAAACAACATCTATAAACCCAGAGTGCGCGGTAAGAAATCTAGAAATCTTGTAAATCAAAAAGAATAATAGAAACATCATCTATAAACCCAGAGTGCCGTTAACTCTCGCTGTAACTCTCGCTATATAACTCTCGCTCTAGCGTGAATTACAAGCGTCGAGCCAATACCGATAAGTTTAGAATTTTTTGTATTTTGCAAGATATCGGTTTCAGCATATTTGGCAAGTCTTGTTTTGGCAAGTTATGGAGCAGCCATTTTTTGAATGAAACTGAATCAAAGGAAATAAAATACAGTAAAGCAGCTGGGCTATAGCTATTTATCCCCTTTACCTAGTGCAAAAGGTTATTCGGCGACTGGGAGCGAACCAGCATCTTCAGTAGACGGGATTGATATGTTTATCCATTAACCACGCCGCCTACTGCACAGCCTTAGGAATTAAATAGCTATATGCTTTTCAATACACAAGAGCAATTAAATTCTGAAAAATCTGTCGTAGTACTTGAGGACTTTCAATGTTATGTTAAATGTATTGGTTCAATAATATTTTCGGAACAAGTCTTCAAAATTTTCATGGATTGGATTTCACGTCGAAAAAAGATTGAAATCTGGTTTAAGATATCCATCCAGTGACTGCAGTTCGAAAATTTTTTCCATAACCCTCAAATAATTTATAAAATAATGTTAGAATTTATTTAAATAGATTTTATGGTATTTAATTAAAAATCAAATTATTTAGCAAAAATGTTTTTTTGTTTTAGCTTATATCCTCATTGAATTCTTTCTCTAAATCCTTTCATGTTTCAGTAATAAAAGAATCCTATGAGTGCCATTAAAAACTAAATGAAATTAAATTTATTATCTTTATTCTTCAAGTGGCAAGTGTAAATCCTGAAATATCTACTCTCTCTAAATATATATCTACTCTCTCCATCTCTAATAATTACCGCCTCTCCTCCTACACTGCGGTGCATATGTTTATGCACACTAGTTTTTTGTTCATAATTTTATGCAATCTCATTCAAAAAATACGTTCTATATAGCAATCGAAAGCTCTATTTGTATCTCAGTTGGCATGTTTCTGCATTTTCCATGAAAATGAAAATTGGCCGAGATAATCCGGATCTACCGGATATACCAAATCCCATATCCTCGGAAAAATTTTTCGGAAAAAATTTAACAAACCCATTTGATAAAGCATATTTTTGTGAGTATTTACCACAAAACCGCTTAGAAATATCTTTTTCCGGAACGGAGATATGATTTTTTGAAAATCGAAAAAAACGCGATTTTTTGACGAAAAATGGCAAAAATATGGTATTTTTTCTATTTTCAAAAATTCGTAACTCGGTCGAATCTCGACCGATTTGGATGATTTTTTTGTATTATATGTAGAATCTAGAGGAGAATCACATATATTTTTTACAGACCTCAAAAAATTTCTTCGAAAAGTTGAAAATGTAGTACCTGTTAGACCGGTCAAAAAGTTTTCGAAAATATCAGAATTTCGGCAAATGCAGAAACATGTCAACTGAGATACATATAGAGCTTTCGATTGCCATATAGAACATATTTTTTGAATAAGTGTGCATAAAATTATGAACAAAAAACTAGTGTGTATAAACATATGCACCGCAGTGTATACCAATTTTAAAAATATTTATAAATCACTATCATTTTCACAGTGATTTAAAATGGTCACATTATGTCCGCTCTTTTGCCTGCACATAATGTCAAGTGAAATTTTAAATAATGAAAAAATTTTATGAATCAACTAAAAATTAAATAAATTCCGTCCACATTGGGTTTAGATCCACTCCAGATCTAGCACCTACTCCTTATAAATTCCCCCCTCGAGCTAGAGTGTGAAACAATAATTACACTGTGTAACTATTTCAGTTTTTAAGTTAATAAACTTACTCTTCTTTAATGTTTCCATTTTCCCAATCATTTCTAATTTAATCGCTTTAGATGTCTTAGTTTCATTATCAGCCACAACATCAAAGTCTTTAGAGAAGAGATGTTTTAAAAAGTTAATGCACTGATCCAAATCATTAATATGCTTATTCATTATTTCAATCAAGCTCTGTTCAGGTTCTAGAACATTCAAAACATTTAAAATTTCTTTCATCAATTTTTCTTCGTTTGTTCCTTCAAATGTCATATTTTTCAAAATTTCCTCCTTTTCCTCATCTGACAATTTGTTGCCAGCCATTTTGTATTTTTCTAGCCTAACTTCTTCATCATACAAATCAAGTGCTTTTTGAAAGAATTCAGTGTGATTTTCTTTAAGGTAATCATACTCGGCAAGCTCTAGGATAGTTTTAATCCCGTTCTCAAGTATATATTTTTTGAATCCAGGATTCAGTTTGAATTTTGTTAATGTTGTCTGATCACCTTGGATCATATTCACAAATTCTTGAAGATATTTTGAATGTATCCCTGACATCTGCAGAGGAGATTTTGCAGTAATTGCTTCACCCAATGCATTCATTATGTATTCTTCTTTGCCTACATTAGTGTCACGTTCAATTTTTGTAGCAATTCTGTCTTCAAGCTTATAATGCTCGTTAGCATTAGCATGTTGCGCATTATGATCCAGCACTTTTTTATCAAGCGAGGATGGATTAACAAATTGTTTCTGATTTTGTGAGACAATTACAGACTGAGGACTATTTTGATTAGCCATAGCCAAATGTACGGGCCCATTGTTAGAGCTTGCTGACGAATTTACTTTTAAAGCTAATCCATTTCGGATTTGTCCGACTCTAGCAGCGTTGTGATTAATTGGAAATTTTGCTAAATTTATAAATTAAAAATTTAGGGAAGAGAGATTCAGACGGAGGTTTGAGAAAAGGCAGAGGTTTAAGGGTCATCTTACAAGTCGGAGATTTAAGATTTATTAAAAAAGGAGGTGGAATTAGCCCCGATAGCTCAGTCGGCAGATCACATGTACGTGATGATCGCAATAGCCTAGCTTATCAGCTTACAACTTCTACCTCTCCCAAACTAGAATTTGTAAATTTGTTTAAAGAATGACCTTGTAAAGGAGCAATATTAGGAATAACTCCAACAGGCACTCCTTTTGAAGCATGTAGAATAAAAATGGGGAAAACTAACAACACATACTGACAGATGCTTAACATTTTCATCGAATTGAATGCCCTCATGATTTTTCTTTTAATTCAGTGAAATATTAAAATTAATTTTAGTTTAAAATTATTAAATTTAAAGTTAGATTTCCTTGAAATAAGGAATTAATTATGATTTTTCTTTGAAATTAACCGCGTATTTATTCCTCTTTTTGGATGGGAGTAGCTAGCGACGCATCTGGGCGGTTTTTTAATTTCAAAAGTAAATTCTCCTGATTACCCTTGTATTTTTCTTTGATTATTTCCCTTTTCACGTTACATTCATACTACATTTGTTAAGAAATTACCGACTGTCAAAAACGGAAGCTTTGAAGCTAAAAGGTCATTTAAAGGTGAGTTTTGCCTATGTATGGCATCATATATTGCATTTCATATTGCATCATATTTTGAAATATCAACTTCAAAATATATCCATATTCACGTGAAAACATGAAAAGCGATTTAGGATTTCATGTGAATTTTTTGAAATAGACAGCAAGTCCAACATTTCAAAACAGGCAATGAATCCTGCCCTTTATCACTAGCCGCTCTCTAAAATTAAAGTATTTCATATTGCCTGTTTTTATTTAAAAGGGCAATCTCGTCTAAAGGGCAATCTTAAGGTTATAAATACGGGATTGATTTCATTGAAATCATTCTTCCTTTTTAAGAAAAGCAAATCCAGTCTAAAAATCCGTCTAAATCCATCTTCAACGAAAATAATAAAGCAAACCCCATGAATATGATACAGCTTCTCACACTTATCTTACTATTTGTTTTCATGGAAATCAAGTTCACAAACAGCGTTTTGACCAATTATACTCCTCGATCTAGTTGATTTTTAAGATTTATTTTAAATTTTTTATTCATGATTCCATTTATTTAAGCAATACCAAACAGCATCGAAAATTTGTCCTTGAAGAAAAACTTCATCGGAAAGCAACTGTCACTTCCTACAAAAGTGGCACTTCCTGCGAATTCTTCAAAATATATTTCAAAGAATAAGTCTTGCAGACATATGTCTGTAAATAACTATTTGGAACCATTGCCTATGATTATTCGAAAAGATAAAATGTCGGATAAATTGTTGTCGAGCGAAAAGACCTTGGATGAGATAAATGGAAAAAATAAAATTTTGCCTAAATTGGATATTTCGGAAAACGCAAAAGTGTTGAAGAATGAAACTTTAGATTCAGAAAATTATAAAATCGACAGATTGCCAAATAACTATCATCCAAATTTTCCATATGATCTTATTGAGATAAGAACCAAGAAGAATCAAAAAAATTAAATTGTAAATTTAAATTGTATTAGAATTAGTAACCGGACTGGGAGTGTCGTATGAGAATTTAAATCTATATCTCAATAGATCGTACGATGTGTTAACGAAAATTTTATTCCTAAAGATTCATAATTTTTATACATTTTTAAAGAACATGTAATTCTCGGACGACATTCGAATTACGTACTCGATAACCAAAATTTTTTGTCTCTAATTAAAAAATTTTTAAATAATTTTTGATCTTAAATATTTTAAAAAAATTATAAATAAAATAAATATTTATTTATTGCAAAAATTATACATAATAATAAAAAATATAAAATGAATAATTCTTAATGACAAGTGAGATTACAAAAAATTAAATAATAATTGATAATTAATTATTAAAAAATAATTAATTATTAAACGAAAAAAATTTTTTAAGTTTAGATTTAATTGAGCACTATTTTTTACTAATATTTTCCTCAATTCTAGACATACCACTCTTTAAATTCCCTTTTTGGCTGTTGAGCTTCTCTTGAAATTGCAATTGTTTCTCGTTGAGTTCCTCCATTCCCTTGAGCTAATATTGTTGTAAATCTTGCCCCTGATCTTTCAGTAAATCCAACAGCCGAAGCGCTGTTTCCATTCCCTAATGTTCCACTTCCATTACGTAATAAGCTTTGGGTTGAACCCTTCAAATGATTATTTTAGTATAAATAATTAAAATATTTCAATTTACAATATGATGGCTTAACCTATAAAATTATTCTATGTATAACTTCCATGTATAACTCAAAACTTTTTGGGGATTTAGTTGGGGGAGGAGTGAGTGGGTAGCCGGGTTCTTGTTTGAAAAGGTGTTTGATAGTCAAAAAACTTGGGCTTGCTTCGAGTTTGGATATCGTTTTGACTGAGTTTGGTCTTTTATTTGCTTTTGAGCAGATTTTTTACGCAGGTTTCGACCTCGACATTGGATTCAATTTTCAGTTTTGTTATGAACATAAGGTGTCTCGATAGACAGAACAAAATATCTCATAAAAAGGTCTCTCATATATCTCTCATAAAAGGTCCCGTCATGAAAAATTATTAGAACTATTACCACAAGAGTGCCAACACGAGCACCAACTCCATTATTATTACTTTCAAATTCTCTCATTTGGTGGTGTTGAACTTGTGGAGAGAATTCATTAGGAGGAATTGGTGTATATCCAGCTTTAAGGCCATTAGTAGATGATTGTCCAATTGTACTTCCTTGACCAGCTGCCGCTGCTGCCATTTGAGCACAAATCTGATGAGGGCGTTTAAAAAAGAAACAGAGTAATATGGCACCAAGCATAACAACAATACTAAGTGATCCGACTAAAAATACAGATAATATAAAGTTAAATATTTTAGGATACCTCCAATCAAAAATTTTTTATCGTTGCCTAATTGATTGTTTGAGGTGGAAGGAACCATTGTCTAAAATTATTTTATTATCTTTTAATATTAAAATAACTGCAATTATGTGTCCCAGGGGTGGGTCGGAATTCCGATTTTCGAAAAATTTTGATTTCTGATTTGCCAGTTCCGATTTCCGGCTCTTTCGATTTCCGAAACCTCTGACTCACCTCTGCTGTGGCTCTTCCGATTCCCGAAACCTCTGACCCACCTCTGCTGTGTACTAGGTATGGTTAGTTATGGTCAAGAATACGTATATATCCACAGATATACGGATATTAGAGGATAAAGGCGGATACGGATATGAACTCTTGAAAAAGGTATCTCACAGAAAAAACTGGTCGAGATCACCAGAGATTATATTGTTTAATTCAATCCCTTTTCTTGAAATCAAATATTTATTGACATACAGTAGGAATATTTCCGTATTGAGAAGCCCCGTTCATTGGAGTTGTTGGTCTAACGGCATACAAAGTCGGATCATTAGGATCAACAGGAAAGCGGGGAGCTAAAGTTTTTCTAGTTGTTGTACTAGTTGAAGGCTTTGGAGTTGGTGCTAAAAAATTTAAATTGTAAAGGATAATTTTAAAAAATTAAATTTTAAAAAGAATTTTACTGCAAAATTAAAAAAACAGTTATATATTTATAAAAGTAGAAAGAATTTAAGTTGGGAAGAGAGATAAATAATTTAGCAAATCCATTTAAAAAAGTGACTTTCTTTCCTAGAAATTTTAACTACATAATTAGTGCTGACAATATTTAAGTAAGAAAAGTAAAAAGAAAAAACAAAGTTACAGGAGTTTTTTAAAATTTTATTTCCTCTAATTGATGGTTGATTTGATAATTAATTTATAAAAAAATACGTTAAGTACCTATCAAATAGGGGGGGGGGGGAGGTTCACTGGAGGGTGTCGTACATGATAGCTCGAAAAATTTCGATCTCGATTGTCAAAAAACTACATTTTGTTCTTAAAAAATCTTCCGATATCCGCGAGCAACATAACCGAAAAATCCAGTTCTACAGTACGTTAAGGTTCCAAACCTAAAAATTAGTTAGGAGACGCTCAGCTAATCCCAGTAGAAGATTCAATTATCTAATATACTAAATACATAGCGATCCTAGGTCTCTAAAGGAATATTATATAGGATAAAAAATAAAATTCCAAAGTAAAGAAAAAGAAAAATCAGTAGTTAAAAACAAAATTAAACAAATAATATTATTACTAATAAAGCACACTGCAATCAAATAATAATTAAATTTTATTGTTAGAATTAAGGTAAAGCAAATTAACTGAAACGAATGATATTTTCAACGACGAGTGCGTGAAAATTTTATATTATTATATGGGCTGAAAGAATAATTGTGTAAAAATAATAGGCTAGAACTTTGCGAATGTTTGTAAGGGAGTGAAGTGGAGGGGGAGATGATCGAAAGTATGAGAGTTTTCCATTGTATTATGATTAATAATAATACATTTACTCTCTATATAACGTAATACTTCGATATAAAAATGGAGAACTTTGTTATTAGAGTTTAAAATCTGAAAAATGCCGGATACGGTTGCGGGATCAATTAATTTTTTTATCCGGACCGGATCTTCCGAATCAAAATCCCGAAAACTTTTACGCATTAATAACCTAAAACAAGAGATTTTTGAGGGGCATAAAAGGGATATTGGCGGATTTGGCGATAAAAGGGAATCGTTATAGAGTGGCTCTATTTTATCCTTAATTATTTTTAATGAATCCAGCAGCACTATTCGCACATTAAATATTTTACTGATAAAAACAAAATTTTAAATATATGTAGAATTTTAAATAAAAAACAAAGGAAAAGAGAACATTTAATATAAAATCTAAATTTTATTTTTGTGAATAAAAATTTAATAAAAAATTAAAGGGAAAACAAAACATTTTTGTGCAACAAAACGGAAATTTTGTTTAGGAAAGAAAGTCAATTCTTTTAGGTGAATTTGTGTAAGTGAGAATTTAAATTGAGGGTAAATTGTGCTAACTTTTAAAAGTTTTTCTAAATTAATTTTATCTTTTTTTCAAAAATTCATAGGTAAATAGCTAGAATTATTCATAGATACCTATACACATTTCAATTCGATCTCCATTTAGTAAATACTTATTTTCTAATATCGATGATAACATTTCTTAAAGTTTTATCTTTTGAAAGAAGCAACTTATACGGCCCCTACTAAATTATTTTACGAATAATTATCCATACTAACCCCATTATGTAGCCTCACTAGAATCAGGAGTTTTTGAGGGGCATAAAGAGGGATATTGGCGAAGATTCATCAAGATTCTCCCCCGTTCAAAATTTCAAAACTCGAATGATTGCCCTCCCTTGATTAATTATCCCATTCTACCTAAAAGTTAATAAAATAATTACCCAGTGTAATTATACAAAAAAATACGGTAAGTCAATTTAGATAAGATGGACTTGTCTAATGGACTTACAAATATTTTTTATAATTTTTTTTTATTAATTTTGCAGTAATATTAATTTATATTTGATTACCAAAAGTAAAATGCAATCCAGGCTTAATACCCGGATCGACCGTAAAACGTTGTAAAGGCATTTCTGTTGTTTTTTGAATAATTTTATTAGAGGCAGTTGAAGGCGAGGAAGGGGAACTTTTTGAAGTTTTAGTTGTTTTTGTTTGTTTTGTTTTTTCTTTAATTTTATCTTCTTGTGGAATAGTTTTAGGCCTTAATTTTTGCCATTTTTTGAGTCCATCAGACCCAAGTCTTCTACCATCTGGCCAAGTTCTGGTTCTCATAGGCCAACCCCCTTTGGGGATATAATTTTGCCTGGAGTTTGATTCTTCTTCTTTCTCTTCTTCTTCCATTTTCTGGCTTTCTTCATTTTCTTCTTCAATTTCTCTTCCTTTTTCTTCCTTTTGTTTCAACTTAATTCTGTGTCTATTATGATACCCCAATGTTTTTAATAATTTTTCTTCTCGATCCATTAATATTTCTGAGGATGAGGGGCCATAATACTCATCTGATTTTGATGTACTTTGAACGTTATAATTGTCAGAATTCATTAAATTTAACTCAGAAGAAAGCAATTTTGAAGAATCTGGCTTAATTGGAGGAGCCGAAGGAATTGAAGCTAATATTGGGAAATATTTTTTGAAATCTTTTAAATATTTGTTAGTTAAATTTTGTTTGAATTTCAATGTATTTTCTAATTTATGTTGACAGATTGAGGATGTTAACAAATTAAATGCCGTGACTATTCTCAAATATTTTAATATTTACTAAATTAAATTAGGGGTGTTTTCTGTTCACGCCGGTTTTAGACGAATAATATTTTAATTTTAATCGACATATTATGATTCTCGAAAATGTGACGATGCGATTATATGGCTCCTGAAGCTAGATCCGGAGCTAGTAATATCTTTAAATGTCCAGAGCTGGAGTCATAAAGCGAACAATACCTCTCTCTACTGATACCATAAATAGCCGGGGTGTGTGAGAATTACTTTCGGAATAATCCTGAATAGAGAACGGACCGATACGATATAGCGATAAAAAATATCGATATATCGATGTCGATATTATCGACCGATATTATCGATCGATACAACTTACCCCGTCATTTGACAACTTCCCCCGTCGAGAAAAAAAATCGAAAATATCGACAATATTTTTTGATATCGATACCGATATTATCTATCGATCACTCAAGTCCGGTCTCTAATCCTGATCAATGCCTTAAACAGATTATTTTAAATTTAAATTTCTATAATTAAAAAAATAATCTCTACAAGGAAAATTTCAAAAATAAATATTTAAAATAATTTTTTAATACAGAAAGTACATTTAAAGATTAAAATATCCAATTAATTGAAAAAATCCCTTCTAGAAATAAATAATTGCTTGAGCATTTAAAGTTTATATTTAGGTATTTTCTGTCAACATAAATAATTAAACAAATGTTTTTTTGTAAATAGAAATAAATTTAATTGGGAGTTTTTTAATTCTATAAAAATCTTTTTATTATTTTTAAAGGCCAAAAAAATTTTTTACTGTTTTATTATATTTTTATTTTTTTAGATCTATTAAAAATTTTATATTTAATTAATTTATCCTAAGGTATAGGGTTGGACAAAACCGTTTAATTTTGAAAAAAACCGTATACCGTTTATGCCGTTTTCTGAGACCCATATACCGTTCCGTTAAATTTTAGAAAAACCAGGTTAGCGTTACCGTAAATGCTGAAATAATTACCCTCTCTCAAATAATTACCCCCGCCCTATTAATTACCCCTTTAGCAAGAGATCGAAACAATAATTGCCCTCTCTCAAATAATTACCCCCTATTTTTATCTACACTGATTTTAAAAATATTAATATAGGTATATTAAACAATCATTATGAATTTTAATTATAAAAATGTTATAAAATCAATATCAACAAAATAAATTAATTGATAATTTGAAAGGATTTTGGGATTATATCGAGGGGTTTGTGTGGAATAAGAGAGATATCGAGAGATTAAGAAGATTTGGAGACGATTTTAAGATTTTTAAAGAAGATTTTCTTAATCTCTCATTAGATAATGGGACGATCAAAGTCTTAATCCATTCAAATATACAATTTCTCTGATATTTCCTACATCCGTTAAAATAATTTGCAATGGACTAAGTGTCTTTATATATCCCAAGAAGGCAGTATTAATGGTATAGTACCACTTTAGAGTACATTATATAGGAATAGATTATGGGAATATAGATTATATCCCCTGAATAAGAATTATACATAATTGGATACATTCCCATAGTGCCTTTACATATACCCGTAAGGAAGCATAGATGCATGCTACTATTCTGGGTTATTTTATTTAAGAAAGTATTAAATGGAATATAGAATAACAGTA